TAATGCTTAAGCATATCTTCTTCATCATCTGAAATCACCAGAAGATAAATGGTGTTCTTGTTAGCTGTGTAACAGAAAATAATGCTTACCAACCTCAATAATATATCAAATAATATCTGATACAAATAATGATTCGTTTATTACAGACTTACAATATGTACAGTAACAAAAATTAACAAAACCATGAAACAATTATACATATATTTAATTTCAGATTTGAAATTTTACATGAACTACCAATTGCTTGTTCTCTGCGATAACCTTATTTGATCCCACCTTCCGTCCCAATTCTGGCCTATATATATACAAACTGATCCAATCATCTTTGACAGGTTTATGTGCACAATTACTCAGCCTCAAAAGTCCGGATTTTCTCCATGAGAACATAATATATATGATCATCAAACATTAACATTTATCCAGGCTTATAATCTTCCCGGAAAGAGCCTCATTTTTTGCCAGACATACCAATATCAGTACTGGTTTTTATCAGAGGTTCCAAATTTTCCGCTGACTTGACGAGCATATGCAACGACAGCTTTAGCCCATCTCTTGATCTTTTCCTTCAATTCATTTGAGTCCATTTCTGTCAGAGATGAACCTGCAGGCATTGTTATCTCATTGAAGGAGAAACAACTGTCGTAGCGTCTTCGTTTCGAACCACCAGCACGATCTTTCTTCAGGGAGAGAGATTTCTTTACAGCTTCAATGTTGTTGTTATCTACAGGGAGAGTTTTCTTGACAGACATGGCTTCTGCTGCCAGATTTTTTTGAGCAGCTTTACATATAAGAAGAGAAGTTTGGCTGATTAAGTAACATAAAATTATAATTTAATTCTTCCAATGCGTGCAGATGTATTGTTTCATTGAATTGACTTTTTCAAATCATTTGTAAATTGTATTTGAAAACTGTTTTCGAAAACGTGTATTTGTTGTGTTCATGTTGATAGTCAACAGTGTTCCCATTGGAAGAACATTTTGCAGCCTTCTATAAACTATTACAACTACAAGTCAAAACATTGACCTTTTTTTTTCCCCCCATTTTAGATTGGTAGATAGAACATCAAGTTCTGTGCATATGATTGGATTTAAGAAGTTTCTTGGAGACTTTTCAAGTATCTTCTTCTTGCTCACCAAGATATTAGACATTTGAGCAAGTGCTTTTTCAACTCTTCTCAAATGGAATCTAATCCAAAAATATATGTTGTATGTAGTTGATAATTGATATTCAATTACTTAGCATATCGGAGTAGGACATGAATCAATAATTTAATTGAGTCAAGTTATAGAACTCTTTTAAAAGAAAATGTCCTATATATATATTAAAAGCTTTATTTAATTTAATATTAAGTTGAAACTACTTAGGCAAATGGGACATGAGTCAATAATTTAATTGTGTCAAGTTTCTTTCCATTGGAAGAATTTTGAGATAAGATTTATGCAAATGCAAGTTGTTTATATATTATTATTGTTGTTGTTGTTGTTTTTGTAGAAAAGGTGTTTAAGATTAATGCAACAACCTATTGCCATGACGATCTACTTAATTTGGGAAGACTCAAATGGAGAATCAAAACTGAGACAGTACATCTATTCATATTATCCTCAATTCGTCTTATCTAGGTTATCCACAATTATTTTAAAACTCGACTCACTGTGAGACTCGACAAGGTAATCGGGTAGTGGGTCGGGTCCAACAACCAGTGACGTCAACAACAAAACTCTTTTAAAAAAAATACAAATTAGTCCTTAAATATTAGTATATTATAAAATACCCTTAAAAATGGAGTCCCTGAAATTTAATTTACTTTAAAAATGTCCAAAAAGATTCATTAATCCCTAAAGTTTTCAAATATTGCAAAAACTCCCCAAAATTTTACAAATGAGCCCCTACAAATTTGAAAATTTAAATATAGCAAAAAACCCTTGAAACCTGAACCAGACCCGAGAGGCTGCCGGATCCCGGTCCGACTGACTGGTCTGATCTGGGTCTTAAAACAGACAAATCTATCCCCCAAAAGAAATACCTTTCTTGAACCACACCCTACATACTAAAACTAAAAATAAAAGCACTTACGTTAAAAGCACTTTCGAGACATTGCTCTACCTTTATTATCAAAAGCTTGTAAAAAGATATCAATCATGTATTTTTTTTTTCTAAGTGCAGTAGTACAAGAGTGCTTTTTCACTATTCACAAAGCAATTTTTGCAATGTTATAAAAGTGCTTACAAAATAAGCATCTCTTGAGTACTAATTTACAATGACTTTAGACAGAAGTGCTTTTGCATACTCTTCAGGTCCATTATTGTTTTGTTTCATAATATGCATTGCAAAAGTGTGCAAGTGATCTTGCAATAAAAGCTGAAATAAGCATCCAAAAAACTCATGATTTCATTGGTTTTAACTCTTGGAGTACAAAACCATCCAAAAACAAAAAAATGAAACCTATTTTTGAGCGTCTTGGACAAAGTAAATGAGGCACCTAGCATTCTCACTTCCGACCATGGATCTTAGACAGCTTGTCTATTCCTCTTCTTGACACCAGATTTGGCAACCTTCAGGCTCCTGTGCACGACACTCAATCTAGCAAGGGCAGCTTTTTCAGATCCGGTCTGTAGTAGTTATCTGAAACCTGCAACGTGTGAAATGCCGAGAAAACGTTAATCTAGACATTAATGTCAAAAAATGAAACAACAATAAGAAAGATCATGATGATATGCTATAAAATTGCAGCATCAAATTTTTAAGGGTAAACCGCCCGTCGCTAACACATAGAATACACACCATAGAATAGCAAAAATAAGCAAACAGCTAGTTCACCAACTTCAGTAACAGAACTATGGAGCACAAAAAATAAGCATAAAAACACCATAGAATACACACACACAAATACATATAAAACCTAGCGGTCATCACAAGCAAAACAAAAATCAGTGCTAGTTGAACGGTAAACACTGGAAGCTCAGAAGCCAAGCGTAACTAGTGTATTTCACAGAAGAAACCATAAGTTAGGTTTCTTCTTACAAGTTAGGGCTTCATCACCGCAACAAGGGGTAGAGAGTGAAAGGAGTGGTGAAAAACAAATAACTATCACTACAACTTTGAACAAACAAGAAAATCAGGAAAACATGAAATTTACACCCTCAAAAGATGGATAAACAAAACCCTCCTCAACGTATTCAACTTCCTAAGTAACCAAAATCTGAAGACAATTGACCACACTGAACCATGATTCAATACCACATAGCAATCAAAGCAGGCATGTAACAAAATAATAGAGTAATTCAACAACAATGAACAACCAAAAGCATCTGAACTAAATATAATGATAAAAGATTTGTAAATTACCTGGTTTGCTACAGCCTTTGCCATTCTGCGGAACTCCTTTTTCAGGAGAGATTTGTGAAGCAAAGAAGCAGGTTTATTCTGTTTCTTGGTCTTTGTTGTTGCAAGCAGCACAAATTGATCTTTCCCAGGTTGAATTGTCACTGTTTTCGTGTTTGCCAAACCTAAAATAATAATCCAGAACCCAGTTGAGAGACCTCAAAAAGACTAGCGAAGCCAGCTCAAAACTTGATGAACTAGTAAACACAATTGAGAATTCCCACTTTACTCGATTGTTATAATTTTGATTATCAGTTGCTCCCTAATTTGAGTGAAAAATGTAAAAAGAAAAAAAAATCACATTTTTCCTTCTCCCTTACAAAGTTGTATTTAAAATTTGTAATTCCCTTCATTTTCTTTTTACATGGAGTTCCAAACAAACAGTGTACAAAACTTCAACATTGATTTACAAGTCAAATTAATTAGCAACCAAAGTTCAGTTCAAAGATATCAAAGATTATGATACCTAATCCAAACATCATTTTCACATAAACCAAACAAAAACAACTTCAACAGTTAAAGACCTTCTGTTGCTCTTTTCCTTTCACATCTTTAAATTTACTTTACCTGCTAAATCTTTCCCTCCTCTGACATAAGAGACCATAACTCAATTTTTTCTAACAAAATAGTACACTAATCTACACAACACATCAACCAAACACCACCCACTTGCCAACTTAACATTTTTTCACCACTCCTACACAAACCCAACCAAAGAAAATGCTAAAGCAATCAACTTTTTTAGCTCTCCACATCCTTAACCTCAATTTCTCCCAATAACCAAACACTAGCATATATAAAATCTAATAATGTAGAAAAATGCTACTGAAAATATGAATAACAATAACATTTTTCATCATTTCCACACAAGACCAGAAAAGAACATTACCAAAGCATTCAACTATCCCCTTCTTACCTTCTTAACCTCAACATTTTATAATAACCAAACATAAATGGATACAAAACCTAATATTATAAAGAAAACTTTGCCCTTTACCAATTCCTTAACCCCAACTTTTTCTCAAAAATCAAACATAAACGACATTAAACCTATTAATATGAAGAAACAAAAGTGAAAATATGAATAAAAATCATACCAGAGTGCTTGAAAGAGTTAAGATTGTAAAGATTATTCGCCTCTTTACTAAACTGAACACTGGCGGTTCCTCTTCCAAACTCTTTGACCAAAAAACAGTTGTTCTTTTTCACTATTTCCCATATCAATGACCCTGGAACTGTTGTCATCTTCTCAATCCCTTATGCAGCCCACCACACCAGATTACCTGAAATCAAAAACCCACATGCAAAATTCACATACAAACCTTAGAAAAGCAATGAAACGAATAAATGTATAGAAGAATGAGTGAGAAAGAGTTGAGACCTACTAGGGTTTTGCTTTCGTTAAGTTGGAGCTCAATTGAAAAATGAGTGACAAGCTTTGGCTTTTATAGTTAAACTGAAACCCTAATTCTGCTTTTCCTGTTTTGGTGTTTTTATTATTTTATCTTACTATTATTATTATAATTTTTTCCCTCAGATTTTTTTTTTATTTTTTTATTTTTTGGTGTTTGTGAGATCAGAATGCCCTTTGTTTAAGTTATTACTTGTTCATGTATCAATAAAATCTCATGGAAAGTCAAATAAAATTCAAGTGTTTGGTGTAAATGTGCCATTGAGGAAGAACGAAATCCCTGGAAATTTTCATTCATGTAACATGAACATGATTTCATAAAGAAAATAAAACTCTTGAAAAATTCTAAAAAATACAGCATATTGTATCTTTGGGCTTAAATTAAACCATATAAACAAGATAATGAACATAAGAGCAAATGGCTAAAGAAAATAAGATAATTCTTGGCCTGATTGCTATAAGAAACTGGCAGCTACAATGCCAGAGAAACTACAAACCTACAATAGATCATGGGGCTCCTAAAAACTCTCCCCAAACAAGCACAATCACATTTGCAGACTCAATAAAACTACTACAATGGACACTTCATTCCACCTTGAATATTAAGACCAAAGAGGGGATTTTGAAGAAAAAAAAAACAAAGAGATAATGGCTTGGAGTAAATTACTCATTGTGTCCCAAACCAAAAAGTACAACAAAATTAAGTTATTTGCCCTCTGAGTCAACCTGAATCATGAATTAAGAACCTGAGATCAGGTCATAAGTGTACCTAACACCAGATCACCAGCTTTACACCTCAATTAATGTTACATTATTTACAGAGTCAAAGCAGCCTTCATGCTTCACACTCCTACAAGAAGGAACTTTCCTGGAATTGTACAGAGGGATTCTAGCTCTCAGCAGAACATAAAAGTCCTGCTAAATATGCAAAGATACACTGGGCAATGTAACCACATCAAAATCCCTAGTATACCAACAAATTCATGTGTAGAAACTGCATAAGTGCAGCCTCTCTCAACCAAGAACCGAATTCACAAGTTGCTTGATGCCAAAGCCCGGTGTGCTGGTCGAGCAGAACCATTCACTGCTTCATTTATCCTACTGAACACTAATTTTAGCGGGATACATGCAATAACAGGACCCTTAGGCTTCTCCACCACTGGCTTCCTCTCTGTTTGGCCAGTCAATGAGGACAATTTCCGTATCTTTTTAGACAATATTCCATTTTTCCTTTTATTTGGTGAGTACCGTGAGGACAACTTTTTGTGCTTTTTGGGAATTCTTCCAGCTTCTGAATTTCGCTCCACCGCATAACTTGTTTCAACAGCAGACTCCAATACAGACACATGAGTTGCATCACATTCAATGCTATCACAGTAGCCTTCACGCAACGCCTCGACAGTAAGAGGATGACCGACAATGGCTTTACCATTCAATTTACTCATAAGGGAAACAAGCGGAACATGCTGTGGCTTGTAGCCAGCCTTCACCGCAAGCTCAACGTCAAACAGTGCAGATTCAACACAAAAATTTCTGACTGGATAATCAGACATCTGAAATCTGGAATGAACCATGTACCGAGTTTGTCGAAAGGGAAGTGACCTTCTAGGGCTTATAGAACCATCAGACAATAGTTTCACCTCTGCAGTTCTCATATGAGATTCCCTGTGAGGAACAGACTTCCTCCAGTGCTGGTCTTCCGTTTCAGTTTTGGACTTGGAGCCATGAATGCCATCACAATCAACTTTCTGATCAGAACCCTGAGGAAATCCATCCAGTTGCTCCATTCCAGCCCCATAAGCATTTGGCTCATCATCCACATATCTTCTCGAGTAGTGTCTTCTACTCTTACTCATATGTCTTGAATTCCTCTTTCCTTTTAACTGCCACTTTGATGTATCTTTCTCCATCCTCTGGCTAATATTGTTAACATGAACAGCTGCTGAACTGGTAGAACGAGATTCATTAAGACCCTCGTTTTTTAAAGATACAGTTTCTCCAAGGCTGCATTGACTAGATTGTCTTCCCAAGACACCAACTTGAGGCCTCCCAGAAGAACACGGTACAAGCATAGGAGAAAAACCTGGCAGAATCAAATTCCAAAGTCAATAAAAGAAGGAAATTGCCACGCTAGTAATTTTTTTATTTTTCAGAGAGAGGATTTGGGTGGCAACACAAGGCTGGCAACCAATGTCAATGTTAAAATAAATTAAGCTAACAAAAAAGCAGAATATAAGACTATAATCATAGCTACAAAGAGATGAATGATTGGATGATTACATGATCGATAAGTTTAAATAAGATATGTCTAAATTCTCACCACCCAATCAAAGATACTAGTTTTAAAGTATGATATAATATACAAGAGGAATAATATAACAAGTCTCAATTATGGTACAGCATTTTCTGATAATTAAAACAGACTAATCCTTCCAAATATAAGTTGCCATCAGTTCCTATATATCAGCATAAAAATAATAGTTGGACTTTCTATAGTTGTGTATATGTGTGCTAAGCAAGTTTAATAAACAGCATAGAGCAGAGTTCTAGTTACCGGGAAGTAAGGATGTGGACAAAGAAAAAAGAAGCAAACAAATTCCCTGCTGGGAAACATGGCTTCCATTTTTAGATATTCAACAACATTTGTGTTTTCAACTGCCAGGTATTCCCAATTTAGAAGAATGTATCCTTATAGGGTCTTCCAACAAATCCCACCCTAAATTTCACTAATCCCTCTCTCAAGTCTCTTGCTAAGGATACTTCTTTAACCTCCAATGAGCAAGCTTGCCAGCTGCCTATTACTTTCCCCACATATTCTCACCCCCCTCAAAGAGAGAAAAAAGGGAAGGTGAGAGAGAGAGTCACTCTCTCTCACACACACACACACACACACACATCATTTCTCCAATGAACCATATTGTTGTTCCATAATGAATTTGACAAGATAATCGCCAACCCTTCTATCATATCCTATAGCAACTAAAAACATTACTAAATTAAGGGATGGAAGAGGTGGCAAGGATATAGGTCTAATTCAACAATGACATATGTGCTATCATCTGATAGATAATTACTTGACATAGGACATCAGAGACTAGTTCTTGAGAATGATAACTAAAAGATCAGTGTGATAACGAAAAGGGGAACACAGACTATGTAACGAACAACAGAAAACACAAGATAAAATCATTTACGGGAAAAAATTAGTTGAAAGCAACCAAATGAATATAGGAGATGTTAACTCTTCCAATAGATTTGAAAAGCTGGATCTGAGTCTGTCATGGAAACCAAGTATTCAGGCTAAAGTTTGAGTGATATGTATGTTACACTTTGAAGATTATCAAGAATAGCCCTAAATGAAAATTATGTCAACTTGGTAGCAAACCCACCATTGCTCTCAAAGGCTTTACTATCTTCCACCAAAAATTTCGTTCTCATCTACATGCATATGGCTATCCTCACAACTTGCAACCCCCAGGTGGACAATCTTGAAACTTGATGAAGTTAGCTAACCTATAGTATGATAAAGCTATATGAAGTTCACAATGTGTTAATTGAGCATACCTGCCGAGTGTTTATCTGCCCCAACAAATGGCACATCAAATAACTTGTCTTTTCCCACTAAACCAGGTATGCTGGAAATTTCACTCTCCTTTGTCTTGTGATTAATTTGAGAAGCATCAGAAGCATGTTCAGAAGTATTCAAGTGGACACCATTTTCGTAAGAAACTACAGTGCTTTCAGAGTTGTTGTTAATCACCACAGATAAACTCTTCCTTGATTCATTAGATTCTACTACAGAAACCTTGCTTTCAGATAAGCCCCGAAGAGGTGAACCATTTGAGCTGGCTAGTTGATCACAGACAACTGGTACAGATACCATAGCTGTACTCTCCAAAACTTTTGTCAAAGGTCGGCGACGATTTTTCTTCTTTAAGAACTCATGAACATTTGCCACTTGTGTTCTCTTTCTTTTCAGTGATGAAGAATGAACTTTGTTACCATTCACAGGACCTCCATTAGACATGTTTCCAGTGTATGAATCACTCAGCGAAGCACTTTCTTGTTGAACTAACTCGGGTGCCCCCACAGCCCGGACTTTTCTTTTTGAGCCTACACCCATGCCTAGGTCCTCAAGTCCTCTCATGCGCTTACTACCCTCCATTCCATCATCCTCTGAATCATTTGGTGTTCTCCTCCTCTTACCTTGCACAGATAGCACCTTAGAAGCACTAGCATGATTTGGCTCTTCAAAAGATATGCCAGATTGAGATAATTCAGGTGCTGAATCTGAGTCATCTTCAGAATCCCTCGTTTCATGACTCATTTCCTCATTTTCCTTACTAGAATGGGACATTACAGACGATTCTTTGGCCAAACCAACCTCACCACCCGAATTATCCGGTCTAACCCAGTAGTCAGGATGATCCTTGCCTAGGCGAGCACTCTCAAGCTCAAGAGCATGAAGGATGGCATCTTCCCTCCGAGCATATTTCACCGCTTTCTTACCAGTGTTTGCTGCAGAAGCCTTTGCTTTCTTAATGCATTCATCATACTCTCCACAGCGAAATGCCTTCACCCTCTTAGATTTTTCAAGATTATACCAATCCCTAAATCATGTTGTTAACAAAGTCAGAACATACATACTTATCAATGGAAAACTCACAACCATACACTTTGATAACAAGCAACTTTATGTAATGAAACTAGTAACAATAGTTTACATGTATGAAAAGCCAGTAGGCCAGTAATCTATTATAGAGATAATAGCAACTTCAAATGACAAGGCCTTTAATCCTTTCTTTTTGTTAATCTTCAGAGCTATGTAGCCCCACCCCTTCCCACCCTAGCCTAGATTAAAATCTATTCTGCGCTTTTGGTAATGACATACCACTAGGTGAAGATGCCATTGCATGACAGTCAGTCAAGTGGATCAATGTGCAGAATAAACGACTAAAATTAGACTCCATTAAGATTGTCAACAGATTAAATGAAAGCAAGAGAAACTAACTTCTCAGGGTATCTAAAACCAACATCCTCACAACTTTTCACGACCAGTCTGTGGCAAAATTTTCCACACACTATCTATTCCACCATCAATATCAAACCTTAAATAAAAAAATATATAGATATAATACTTCAACTGACCTTTACCAAGTAATGATTTCTTCATTCTTGAAAACCCACAAACCCCCAAACCCACTTAACAAACTTGAGTTTGAACTGGAGCCTACTGCGTTCTACAATTTTGGGAAGTATGACCTCCTGGCTTTTCACCAAACAGGCAGCCTAAGGAGTCAAACTCCAGACCTTTTCGGACCAATGACTCAACCAACCCCTCAAGTTCACCATGTAATCATGTAAGCAATGACAACACAAGACAAAACCAAGCCAAAAAATGAGCATTAGCAACCCTTTTATTTCTCCAGTTAATCTACAAAAACATCCAGTAAAAGCTCAGGCAACAATCTCTAGAACATGAATATGAACTCCATAAATACTGCAACAAAAAAACAACATAAAAAAATGAAATAAAAAACAGTAAGAAACAAGCAAAAGAGTGTAAAAATAACAAAAAAGCACTCACACACTAGCATCTTCACGACCCAGAAGCTTAACAGGAGTACCAGATCTTGGTGAAACCAAACAACCCTCAGAAACCTCATTCAGTCCCAGAATCCGACCCGGCCACCACGACCCATTTCGTCTCCGGACCCAAACCAACCCGCCCACTGTCGGGTCAATGTTACTTGTTCTGTTACCATCGTCCTCAGATTCAGGACTTCCCATCACAGAAACAAAAAGAAACCCCACTAACTAAAAATAAATAAAAATCAAACACACTGCTGAAAAAAAATTAAGGAAAAAAAACCCACAATCGATCTCAAAACTCAATCTTGACCGTTCATTCGCGAGCAAAACCACTCACTTCTCAAAAACCAGCCTCAAAGTTTGCGCCTTGAATGAATGTATAAAAACCCTTTAAACCTGCGAACACAAAAACAGCATAAAGAACACAAATTTATCAAGAAAAGTATAAAAAGGAACAAAATCACATGCAACACAAACCCAGAAACAAAAAAAGATTAAAAGAAAAAAAATACAAACTTTTAAGGAGAAATGAGTACCTGGAGTAAAGGGCTTTAAGAAGAAGAAAGATCTAATTAAAATACCAAGAAAAAGAGATCTGGTACTTCTGTTTTCCTTGTTTTCAGAAAATATTTTCTCTGTTTGTAGATTTTTATTTTTTTCTCTTTTGGGTTTATTTCAGTACTCGTTTTTGTTTGTGTCTTCCTAGTTTCTGTTTTTGTTTTCGCTGTTGCTAGATTATGTTAAAGCTACCAGCTACGAGAGTGTGTCTTGTTCAAGTGGGTTTTGTACAGAGTACGAGAGAAACTGAGAAAGACAAAGAACTGTGTTTTGTGTTTGGATCAAATTAAAATTAAAATTACACTTAATTATTTTATTTTTATTATTATTATTTCATTTTCACTGTGAAGACACTAAAACAGAGACAGAAGTTTGTATGTGTATTGAATGAGTCAAGTACGGTTTTTTATTTACAATTTGTTAAGTGATATTTCCACATATATTTATAATTTCTTTTTTTAGAAAAAATAAATTAATTTCATTCATCTTGGTGGTTAGGTTTGACCTAATATATTAAACATGGATTTGGGGTTTTTTTTTTTTAAATTTCAATTAAACAATTTTCAAAAAATTTATATTTAAGGATGATTTATAATTTAGTATATATATATATATATATGCTTTGAAATTAAATTATAATTCAAAAAAATACATATGATATTTAAGAATATTATTGTTGAGGGAGTTGAGATTAAATTAAATTATTGGTTTGTATATACTTGTAGACTTATAATTTATAATAAATAATTAGGTAAAATTACAATATTATATATAATAAATAAAATTTCAAAACATTTATTATTTTATTTGATATTTTTAATAGAATTATAATTAATATTCTCCAAACGTGTAACTTATTAAATTCTATAATTTAACATATAAGTCATATATATTATATAAGATAAATTGCCATTTATTGAATATTCCATTTATGTTAACGAATTTAATAAAAGAATTTTTTGTAAAAAAAAAAAAATCATATTTGTATCCAAACAAGCCTCTGATGGTTAAAGCTGTAAATTCTACTATGTTGACGTGGCACGATTTCGCTCAGCAAAATGATTCAGTACAACAGCATGTATCGTAACTCATCATTTCTTAATCAAGAGATATTTGATTAGGGACGACAGCTGCATAGGATTATTTCCCACACCTGTCCCACATGCATGGTCAGGGTCCACAGTCCACTAATCAATGGCTATAAAAGGATGTGTCCCCATACAGTGATTAAGAAATCGACGGTGGAGATTGCATGATCAGTGATGAGAAATGATGTAGAAAATAAATGGGCCCTATCAGGCCCAAACAAATTGGCCCAGCGATCATCATAATTACCCAAATTTCTATAATTGGATTATTCTGTTAAGACTAAGGTAAAAAATTTAGCATTTCATTTTTATATTTAAAAAAATAAATATCAATATGGTAACATTTAATTGGTGTTTGTAAATTTTAAGATTTTGATTAATATAGGGGCAATATTAAAAATACGCTTAAAACGGTGCGTTTAAGGCTTCGTTTTAGCCTTTTAGGTTTATTGTTCTTTTGTATCATTGGATTCAGCACTGAGAACCGAAGAGAGAAAGAAGAAGAAGAAGCAAAGCATAAAATATCATCAATCATGACGGGTACTTTTATTGTCTTTCAATTTATTTAAAGTTTAAATTTTTAATCATCAAACTGAATCGATCAATACAATTCAGTAGTACTCATAATCGTTTTCGAGTTCTTATTATACAATTCAGTTGCATGACGACTCTGTTTTCTTAGTTATTAGTATTTTTTTTAGATTTGAGCTTCATTTGCGATGTATTTATTCATTTATTCAGCTTGAATAATTTTTTTGGACGATGTTTTGTGGGTTTACTTTGTTTTTGATCATCTAGATATGGTTTAGTGTTAAAGGAAGTTCCTTGATAGAAACTGAGATATTCAGAAGCTGCAATGGCATGCTTGTTTTGTGAATTCAGACGGGTTTCTGGTTAATTTGGAGGCTTTTAGTGCATGGGTTTGGTATTTGGAAGGAGAGATGGTATTGGGATTGGTTTTAGCGGCTTACAACGTTTCATTGCTAGCGTTCAATGTCATGGTAATAGCGAAAATGAATTGTAACACGACTTGGTTGAAGTAGCATACAATTAGTGACTAGTAAATCTTCCAATTCCCAGTTGTAATCGGCCTGGTAGCATTATTTTTAGGAGCATCATTCAATTCAGATTTTTATGTATAAACTAATGAACAGGGCTATAAGAGATTACTTTAAACTTGTGGGCATTCATTTACACTTAGTTTCTGATTGAGTCGGAACCCTTCAGCTTTTGAGGGTTCTCTGATGAAGGGAAGTAGAGGCTAAAGTTGTTTTTTATTATCGCTTGTCACAATTTTGAAAATATTTGCTTCTACTTAAAGCTTTTGCTTTTGATGGTCTGGAGTCACAGCTGAGGAGATTAGTTTAGGTGCTGATAGTTGTTATGATAGTTGCATTGGTACCCAGTGTAGTGAAAATATAATGATAATAGATTGATGAAGTTTTGCACAGTGGCAAGATAGTGTATGGATGTAGCTACATTTGTAATTCAATGGCAAAATATTATTTCTGAATTTGTTAAAATAGTCATGTTCTGTGATTCAAGATTTAATATATTGTTGGAATTGGTTTGTCTTTTTAGTTGTTGATATGTTCGTTTCTAATGCTTTCTCTCTATCTTAATTTACAGACTATGCACAGGAGCAAGAGATGGAAATTGAAGCGTTGGAAGCAATACTTATGGATGAATTCAAAGGTGTGTGGCTTTTGTGTTTTTGGGCATCTGTTCTTAACTATCCTTTATGTTGCCATTTTCCTCCTCACCATTCCTAATATGTACTGAGGCATGGTCTTCTGCTGGTGCTTCATGTTAGAAATTCACTCTGCTGAGAGTGGATTGAACACTTCTAATAGGTGCTTCCAGATAACACTATCTCCACAGGTACTTGCATAAACTCCTCCTCTTAGTGTAGTTTGACAATTTATTCTTTTATCATACATCATAAAACTTCATATTGACATATACAATATGTGTGATGTTGTGCTTAGCAAGTCCATTTCCTTCTATTGATTTCATTGCTTATGTTCAACAGGATGATGAGTTAGACGAGTCAACAACTACTCCAGGTTGCTGTTTTCTATTATAAAGTTGGAGCATTTGCTGGTTTCTCTTTTCCCTAATAAGCTTTCTGTTGATTGTCATCTTCTTAGCCAACTAGTTCAGGATCTTTAGATTCTCTCTGGACATAAGCTTTTGTCTCAAATTTCTTTTGCAGTTCAGCTGGCTTTAATTTTCTCTCACACAGAAAAGTATCCAGATGAACCTCCTCTTTTGAATGTAAAAAGGTTAGTACGTGCTTCCTGTGGAGGTTAGTGTGCAGAAGACTATTATCCTCCCATTCACATATTTTTACATTTTATAGGACATTAATTATTTGTACTTTTGTTTGCAACTCCAACCTCAAGTTGAACTTTCTTGACCTATCCTGAAATTATTAAATTTTCACCTAATGCCATACAACTGTACAACAGAAAACAACTACCTTTTTTTTCTTTTTTTTTTTTTTTTTTTTAGATCAGGTTTGAGTGTAGCTGCACCTCTAATGTATCATTTGATTTTTAAATGATTACAAACTGGAGTGTCTATATCACATGGATTTATCTTTAACTGCCAACCATATATGCTCAGGACTTGTAATCTATTGTACACTTAATGTATGATTCAAATGATCCTGTATTTTTTAATACTGACATTGGGATGCTTGTTCCAGTTTACGAGGAATACAAGTTGGTGATCTTAAAGTTTTGAAAGACAAGCTTGAACAAGAGGTGGTTCGTTGGCCCTTTTGAAATTTGCATTTTACTTTTTCAACATTAATGTTGACGGACAATGTTTTGGCTCTCTAAAAGTTTACTTGAATTATATGTGCTATGCCCATAATAGATTTTTGTTTTGTTGGCGAAAATATATGTACACACTGTAAGTAGTTATACAGCTTAATACATGATGTAAAGTTATTCAAGTTATATAAATTTTGACTCAAATACTTGCATTCCACAGGCATCTGAAAATCTTGGTATGGCCATGGTCTACACACTGGTTACATCTGCTAAGGAGTGGCTGTCTGAAAGATATAGCCAAGACACTAGTAATGACAACGCTGGAGAAGAAGAAGTGGAAAAAGAAGATGTATGTCTCTGTGTCCTATATCTTGGTTTTCACTACTCTGGTTATAGATTTACTAAATTCAAGTATATAAACAATTTTGTATCCTGGCATTTATAAGCATATAATAATTGCTGGTGCCTTTGTTTGTTTCTGTCCACAATTTCTGAGTTTTGCATGTTTCATTTTGTGTATTCTTGATGTATTTTCAATTAATCTACCTTTCTGAAGTGAGGGTGTTTTTGGTGAAATGTGATATGGGAGGAGCAGCTCTTTTACTTTCTTCCTCTTTCCTTTTTGTTTAATGAACAGGTAATTATACCACATGGAGAGCCTGTTACTATTGAGACATTTTTGGCATGGAGGGAAAGGTTTGAGGCAGAGTTGGCATTAGAGCGAGCCAAGTAAGTTCTATGGAAATCTTCTGCCTCATTATTTTGATGGTCAGCTCCCAATTCTCTGGACATAGTGTCACTGCCAAGCATATGAAAGTGGGGACATGCAATTTACATGAAAAATTTTCCAATTATTGTCATTTTCTCTTTTATGCAAAACTCACATTTCTTATAAATGAAAACCCTCAATGACTTTGCCCTAACTTTCAGATTAATGCCGGAAGCTGCACTCACAGCACCTAAGGAGAAAAAGATGACTGGCAGACAGTGGTTTGAAAGTGGAAGAGCTTCTGTGGTACATCACATATTTAAATCATGCTTCTCTATGTCTTTTCAGATGCACCCAAATCTAATAATCCCTAGTAACTAAAAGTGCTTTTCTGTTATATGTTTCTTACAATAAGATTTGAAGTACTAAGTTTCTTTCTAAACAGTAAGAAATAATAAAATTAGTGTTTATGAGTCTATATCAATTTTAACATTGAATTAGATTTCCCTTGGGGATGAACCAGCTAACTCAGAAGCTGTAGACAATTATTATTCAACTTCAATATTGGTCATTTTGGTGCTATACTGTACTTGTTCTTCCCTAGATGAAGTACTGCATTGTTCCTTTTGTTAGGTCTGTGTCTCAAGTTGGAACTTCTTTTCTTTTTTATTTATTTTAGTCCTTTAACTGATAAAAGTAAAGAAGTAGGAACCTTACTGTATATCTTTGGACAAAGGTGGGAGTTCTTACTCAATTGTCTTGTGTCTCGCTTTTTGCGTGCGTGTGTCTGGGTGTGAACGGTGTAGGGTCATGGAATGAGTTCATGAGGATTGCATTATATGTTACTTTTCTTTACTACGCAGAAAGGTGCAGCTGCAGTCAATGAAGGATCTGAGGAGGACATTGTGGAAGATATTGATTTCGATGACGATGATTTTGAAGGTGAATCTTCGAATCTTTACCTATCCCGTTACTTTACTGTTTGATATTACCAAGATTTGATATTTTATTAAGGTTGGTAAGCATTATTTTCTGTTACCGCTAACAAGAACACTATTTGTCTTCTGGTGATTTCAGATGATGAAGAAGATATGCTTGAGCATTATTTGGCTGAGAAATCTGACTCGTCAGCTCACTCTTCAACGCGAGCTAACTAAATGAAAGTGTTGTAATTTAACATATTGAACTCCTCATTTGATTGAGGGTTTATTATTTTTCTGGACATTGTATTCATAGGTATTTTTGCCCCATTTGAGGAGATGATTAAGTGGAGTGAGAGTTTTTCTATACTCATCTTCTTGTGGGTTCCTCATCAATTTTTCAACATAATGGAGCAAGTTGAAAATCGTGGCTTTAGCTTCTTCCAGTGTAACCATGATCATTCCACCGATCTTGACGAAAGATATTAGTGTCAAACTCCAAAATGGGAATTTATGCCAGGCTTTTTGCCATGTTTTGAAGACAATACTAGTTTGAGCAACTAGTTGGAATGGAAGGAATGACAAGATGTGTAAAATTGGTTGTGGTAGAGCTGATATCCTGTCCACTCTCTCAATACTCTCTTCTTCCTCTATCCTAACCTTTATTTAGAATCCGAAGAAGGTTTGAAATACAAAACAAGTGACACCGATAAGATAATACCTTTTACACAAACAATCTCTGGATATTTGTAGGAACATATACAGTGGTTTTATTAAGCTAAAAAGAAGTTACATAATTTTATTTACCTTTTTTTTTTTTTTTTTTTTGGTATATAATGCCTCTTTTTTTTAACAGTACGTATCGCCTCCAAGCAAATATTCATTACGGTGTGGTTAATGCTTTTCCAAATTTGGAAATGAGACATCCATGATGCAATGTCTGGGAGATGTGGTCCCTGGTTATTCCATAGCAGACCCATTCTTCTTCCAAAATGGCAACCGACTATGGAGTTAAGCAAGGAATCTCCCCAGTTCATCCCTTTGTGGATTAAGTTGTATGGCATCCCCTGGGAAATGTGGAGCCCCGATGGGCTAAGTTACTTAGCTAGTGGAGTGGGGAAACCTTTGGGCATGGATCGGGTAAGGGAAGATACTTGTCGAAATGATTCGGGGCGTATTGGGTATGCTCGAATGTTGGTTGAAGTGGATGTATCTCGGAAGCTACAAGATGTGATGAGGGTTTTGATTCCCTACGAGGAAAATTGCTTACTCAAGAGTGTTGAGATTAGAGTGGAATTTCATTGGAGACCGTCTCAATGTGAGAGATGCTATGTTTTTGGTCATCAGGATATGACTTCCCCATACCAACCCAGGGCAACAGAAAAAGTCCCCATGTCTGAGATGGAAAGGACTCAGATGGGGGATAATGATGGTCTCCCCACCGCTCACCTTGATGAGGCGTATACTTTTTCTAGGCTTAGAAAAGTTTCCACCCCTCAAAGGGTTAGCTCTAATCGAGACCTTAGAGGGCCAACGAGAGTGAGTACAAAGAATTCCTTTCTTTGCCTTGCTTCGACCTCGGCGGAGGTGGAGGAGATGGTGACAGAGGTGGAGGAGATGCTTGGTTGGACTTAAACATGTTATAACAGTCATTTAATTACTTATTCTAAAGTTAATACAAACACTAAAATATGTCGTGCATATGTCAGACTGATATGGTAAAGAATCATGGGTGAGTTTGGCTTATTGTTTTTATCCATATTCTCAATCCTATTTTTTAAATGTTGTTTCTCACGTTATTCCCAAAATATTAGTATATTTTTTTAATTATGTTGAACCTCTTATAAATTTATTAATTTCATTAAATACCCCCTAGAAAAAAAGTTTAAAAACTAACAAAAATACCCCCACCCACCAATACCTGCCAGATTTCGGCAACCACTGTCGGTGGTAGCCGAAATCTATCACAATAGTCACACATCCACCGTAAATAGCTGGTAATGACAAAATCTAGCCTTTTCCGGCCAGATCCCGTCAACGACGGCCAAAGATGGCCGTCGTTTCAACCTTTTCCGGCCGTCGCAACCACAACAGTTCGTAGATCTGGCCTTTTCCGAAAGATCCGTGGTGGATTTGGCCAGAAAAGGCCATAACAACGCGTTACGGCACGGATCCAATCGGTCTATGTCGTAACGAAATTTTTCAACCAAATTCCGGTGGTGGTGGCCGGAATCTGGCATTACAGGTAGTAAGGGTGTTTTTGTCATTTTATATATTAGGGTCTTTAATTAAATTAGTAAATCTAAGGGCTTTTTCATAAATTTTTAAAGTTTACCTCGTAATACTCCCCTATCCAATAACCCAATACTATCCCCAAAATCTTATCAAAAATAATAAACCAAACGCACCATATATTATCTGGTACTACATCATATCTTACGTACTACAAATATTTTGTTTCATATTTATTATATATAAATAAATCGGTTTTATTAAGCTAAAAAGAAGTCATATAAATTTTATTCTCCATTTACATTTTTTGGTATTTGATGCCTCTTTTAACTCTAAGTAGAATAAAATTGCTTCCAAGTAATATGTTTAATATTCATTATGGTGTGGTAATGTTTTTATCAATCAATGAGAGATTTATGATAAAATCACACATTTCTTATTTACAGCTCATGTTGTTTGATTCTTTTATTACAAGTTTAATTTTATTAATATTTTTAATAGAATTTATTATTTTAAGTTTACTTGAACGGAGAACGGACCGTAAAACACATGTAATTAAAATTAATCTTCTTTATTCATGATAATAATTACTAATCACCAACAAACCAAAGGTGGTAATTAGTTTATTAGAAAATTGGTACAACTCATGTGATTCGTTTATTTTATGGTGAGTTTAACTTTTATGAACATCTTTAATAGAATTTATTATAGTATATTTGAATGGTATTGTAAAAAAAAAGGTAATTAAAATTCATGTCATTTATTAATGATAATAATTACTAATCACCAACCAACCAAAGATGGTGATCAATTTATTAGAAAACTCAGTATTAATTACTTATTAGTTTATTCAAACCATAGAACATGTAATTAATTTAAAATGAAAAATGTTGAAATAACACCATCATATTATTGTACCAGACATAATCTCAAAATGATACTTCATGTTTTTAACTTGAACCACAGGATAAACTCTAGGAGGGCCAATACTGTAAGAAGAAGTATAATTAATACTTAGGCCAAAATTGAAGTAGTGGCACTATATAAAGAAGAAAAGAGTCATTAATTAGTAAAGAATATGCATATTCAATATATATATATATATAAAATAAACTTACCCTGTCAACCTAAAGGTCAAAAAAGTGACTTATATTGATTTGATACAAATAAAAACTGATATTTTACCTCAAAATCAACCTCACGACTATCCAAAGGACAACGGCGAATGGATTCCTCTGCAGAATTTTCACAAGTACTGCAAGTAATTTCTAGTTAATAATTGAAACCTAAACACTGTATATCTTTGACAAAGGTGGGAGTTCTTACTCAATTGTCTTGTGTCTCGCTTTTTGCGTGCGTGTGTCTGGGTGTGAACGGTGTAGGGTCATGGAATGAGTTCATGAGGATTGCATTAATGTTACTTTTCTTTACTACGCAAAGGTGCAGCTGCAGTCAATGAAGGATCTGAGGAGGACTTGTGGAAGATATTGATTTCGATGACGATGATTTTGAAGGTGAATCTTCGAATCTTTACCTATCCCGTTACTTTATGTTTGATATTACCAAGATTTGATATTTTATTAAGGTTGGTAAGCATTATTTTCTGTTACCGCTAACAAGAACACTATTTGTCTTCTGGTGATTTCAGATGATAGAAGATATGCTTGAGCATTATTGGCTGAGAAATCTGACTCGTCAGCTCACTCTTCGGCACGAGCTAACTAAATGAAAGTGTTGTAATTTAACATATTGAACTCCTCATTTGATTGAGGGTTTTTTATTTTCTGGACATTGTATTCATAGGTATTTTTGCCCCATTTGAGGAGATGATTAAGTGGAGTGAGAGTTTTTCTATACTCATCTTCTTGTGGGTTCCTCATCAATTTTTCAACATAATGGAGCAAGTTGAAAATCGTGGCTTTAGCTTCTTCCAGTGTAACCATGATCATTCCACCGATCTTGACGAAAGATATTAGTGTCAAACTCCAAAATGGGAATTTATGCCAGGCTTTTTGCCATGTTTTGAAGACTACTAGTTTGAGCGACTAGTTGGAATGGAAGGATGACAAGATGTGTAAAATTGGTTGTGGTAGAGCTGATATCCTGTCCACTCTCTCAATACTCTCTTCTTCCTCTATCCTAACCTTTATTTAGAATCCGAAGAAGGTTTGAAATACAAAACAAGTGACACCAATAAGATAATACCTTTTACACAAACAATCTCTGGATTTTGTAGAACATATACAGTGGTTTATTAACTAAAAAGAAGTTACATAATTTATTTACCTTTTTTTTTTTGGTATATATGCCTCTTTTTTTTAACAGTACGTATCGCCTCCAAGCAAATATTCATTACGGTGTGGTTATGCTTTTCCAAATTTGGAAATGAGACATCCATGATGCAATGTCTGGAAGATGTGGTCCCTGGTTATTCCATAGCAGACCCATTCTTCTCCAAAATGGCAACCGACTATGGAGTTTAAGGCACGGAATGTGCTTTTGGGCATCTGTTCTTAACTATCCTTTATGTTGCCATTTTCCTCCTCACCATTCCTAATATGTACTGAGGCATGGTCTTCTGCTGGTGCTTCATGTTAGAAATTCACTCTGCTGAGAGTGGATTGAACACTTCTAATAGGTGCTTCCAGATAACACTATCTCCACAGGTACTTGCATAAACTCCTCCTCTTAGTGTAGTTTGACAATTTATTCTTTTATCATACATCATAAAACTTCATATTGACATATACAATATGTGTGATGTTGTGCTTAGCAAGTCCATTTCCTTCTATTGATTTCATTGCTTATGTTCAACAGGATGATGAGTTAGACGAGTCAACAACTACTCCAGGTTGCTGTTTTCTATTATAAAGTTGGAGCATTTGCTGGTTTCTCTTTTCCCTAATAAGCTTTCTGTTGATTGTCATCTTCTTAGCCAACTAGTTCAGGATCTTTAGATTCTCTCTGGACATAAGCTTTTGTCTCAAATTTCTTTTGCAGTTCAGCTGGCTTTAATTTTCTCTCACACAGAAAAGTATCCAGATGAACCTCCTCTTTTGAATGTAAAAAGGTTAGTACGTGCTTCCTGTGGAGGTTAGTGTGCAGAAGACTATTATCCTCCCATTCACATATTTTTACATT